TACATAACCAAGCTCTACACATAATACAGTACGTATGTAATGCATAGTGCCTTTCCTGCGTTTGCTAATCAAGAACTAGGACTCCGCTAAATGCGCCCGCCGCTTATCAAGCCCAATTTGGTCTGAGCCTGATGTGGGCTTAGTAGCCGGCGACTACTGTAGTTAACTTGGAGTAAATCAGTAGTAAATGAGGTTTATAGGCACAGACCAAAAGGTGTATGTATTAGTAGTTGGCTCGTGCCTATAAACCTCACTTCCGACTATTTTACTCCAAGTTGGCGATTAATTTCTGAGAAAGCAGCTACCAGAAAGGTAGTTGAAATGTCGGAATTTTTTCCATAGGTATTAATCGTTAGCTTGGAGTAAATCAGTCTGAACTGACTACTATATATTAAGTTAGTCCTTTAGCATACCGTAGCATACTGGAAGTGATTTACCCAGTACGCCTGGGCTAATGCCTGAGCTAACCGGTCAGGATAATGTCGCAATAGTTCATTTTGGTACGGACCAAGTTTTACGAAAAGAAACAAATTCAGAAAACATTAAAAAATACGAAAGCGGCAGCTGAGAAATTTGTGGAAATTGAGAGTGCCATATAAATAAATATGCATATATACTTACCAACTTCACTGCTTCCAAGTAGCTGGTTGGTGAATCCAACCTCCGACAAACAGCCTTGTCCTGGTGTACAATAGTGCTCACCTTCAAGGATTTTGGAATTTCTGATTCGTCTAGCCTCAACTCTGGCGGAAAATCCCCACAGACTAAATGAAGACAGAGTGAATTACCAGCAAAGTGAACAGGTTACGTTGGTTTGTGTCAAACGGACAGGGGCGGTACTGTTCCACATTAACCAAATGCTTCAGAAAGTTCTTCTTTGCACCACTGTCATCCCTGCACGTAAGAAGGTGAATAAGACAGCGGAAGGAGGAAGACGCACCTGATCCATTCAAGTAGCTTGAGCGCAAAACTGTTAAACAGATAGAACCCCACGTCATGGTAATCCGAACATGTGACCAAATGATTGTGTGAGGCCAAAACCTGCTTTGGAAAGCGAACTTGTTTCTTCATATCCGCGTCGGGTACATACATAACAAGCTGTTGTGACACCTGGTCCATTACGAGTAAGTCGTGAGGCGTGGACTTTATGAGTTTGGGGTCTTTGGTGAAGGGTGACACGACAGACACGACAGACGCCCGTGTACGCACCATAGTGAGAAAGAGTCGACGCACGTTCAAGTCGGTGACGGCCAGATCACCGTAGGCCACAAAGAGATATTGTGAGGTTATGCGATCGCGAATACGATATATGCATTCCGGGAGACTGAGAGTTGCCGGAACCTCAATGAAGGCCAAGCGCGCCGAGGAGTGTGTCTTTGAGTCGTGGAGACCTTTTTCTAGTTGTGCCGCTTGATTCGGTCGACAAAGGATTATGACGTCGAGGATGCCAGCTGAACGGAACACATTTAGTAGGTTCGATAGAACAGTGTGCTTTGATAGCGGTAGCTGACTGGAGAGACCGCTAGCAAGTAACTGACGTAGGTGTACTGAGTCCTGATGTGCTAGAATAACAGCCTGCATAGTGCGACAGCCTTCAAGAAAAAAATATGGGTCGTGAGTGATTAGATTTTTCGTCAAAAATCATGTTATCTGTCGATCATTTAAGCCAAAAGCACCGACGCAAGCCGTGGTAAGACAGGTGATAGGAAAAGCCGGGCCTCGGCTTCTAAATGTAAGTACAAAAAGGTAGTTGTGAGTTTAAAAGAGTTTCTTACTATTTGACCTCCGTTCAAACGCTTACTAGGTGTCAATTAAAGCGCAAACAAGACACGAGGGCCTCTCAAGAGATCTTAAGTAGTGAGCCTTATGGGATTACTAAACAATGAACCAACTTTTTGAATATGACTTAAGCTTAGAAAGTAAATTTACAAAATTTGGATTTGAGTTTGTTCAATACCATAAGCCAATATTGCAGTTAAACAATGAACACTTTGGGGCATTACTTTGGGGCTGAGACTGTGGTTGTGTAAGCAGATATGCGAACTGATCGTGAAAATCTTAAATCCACAGAGTAAAGCAGCTGAAAAAGGTAATGTATAAGAGCAGCTGCGATTTTCTGCAGTTAAGGCGACCACTCAGGACTTGGATCTTGCTCTTTCACTCGTCAGACTTCTTAAGGTAAAAAGAAGTTCCATTCCAAATTTTAAAGAGCGACAACAACAAGTCGGATATGGCCTTCGTCCGTCTACTTGCAAATCCAACAATCGGAAGCTTAGCCACCCATGAGGGCGAAACTTCTACGTCACTGAAAACTTCAACGGCATGTACAGCCAACATCCCAAAAGATTCTGCACGTCTATTAAAATATGAGCACAAAATTACCGGTCGAAGAGAAGGCGTGAAGAGGGAGGAATCGAAGGGGTCAAGTCATGATTTAATGCTAGGATTAAACAGCACACTGGGTGTTTATTAGTATGGAGAAAATAGAAGAAATAACTAGGACGAACTCAGTTAATGTCTAAGTGCTCGCCAAAACTTGCTTGACTATGAGGTACAAACTTAAGTATCATCAGAACCAAACGCAAGAGCTCAAATTGGGTGTCTAAACCCAGGGGTAAATTCAGCTATCAAAAATCTGACGTACGTAAGTTGGATATGCACAAAGCTCTCTAAAGCTCACAAACATTGACCGTTTGTGAGAGCCAAGACACCAGCTCAACCGATTTCTCCGAGCCAGCTTCGCAGAATTGAAAAGGTGATGAATCAAGAGTTACTCTTTTAATTTCAAATTGGAGATAAGGTTAATATGCTACGCAGCTCTAAGACTTTGGGGCAGATATCGATTCGATTACCCTCTACCGAAAGCGATGGTTCACGGCAATTCAGCAGCAACTCGACGTATACACGGATACCATAAAAGTCAGAATAAAGGGCATTCACCGAGAGAGGTTTATTTTTTTCTGACGTTTCGGGTAGTTGTCTGGTCTACTCGTCTTGAGAACAGGAACGCTTCGGCTCGTGGTTCTCGTCTTAATGCCACCTTTTTCCCGTGTGCGTGTTCTATCAACTTGGAATCGAATTTTCGCCACTACACCATAGTAGCCTTAATGCATTTTCGCGGGTCTCTCAGAAAACCCTACCGCCTGCTAGGCATGTATAACAATCTACAGTATGCAAATCAACTTGCGGCCTTCGAATACAAATAAAAGCAGAAGGCAACACTGGCCTACTTAGGAGTAACATAGATAGTAGTTAAAATAACCCTACCGGTCCGCACAACAGGAAACGACGTATACCAAAAAACGCACCACCATGCACTCTGTCCATCGGACAAAACACGAACAGTCTGAAGATGATAGATCCTATATCTAAAGTCCGTCTACAAGCTTGATGTTACCTTACCTCTAGATTAGCCAACAAGCCCTAACTAAATGACGAATCAAGAAGAAGCCGAAGCCTCCAAGACGCAAGACACACCGACCGTTCGTTTACTTTGACCAGATTGGGGTGACAAAGTGAACACATTAATGTACCTATAGCTGCCCCGATAGCAAATTTTCTGAAAGATTCAGTCTTGTATAGGCATTTGGAGCGTTAAGCAGTATTCCGTACGGTGATTGCTGGAAGTTAGAAACAGCTGCAACCTCCGCCAAC